AAAATGAGTCCAATCCAGCCTTGTGTTCTTGGAATATTTTCTTAGCATGAAGGTAAAAGTTTGTGTGGCTTTATTAAATATACTAAAGTTGTCATTAAAAAAAAAACAATCAGCTGATTCTGAGGGGTTCAGATGGGAGGTACTGATTGATTTTATATAGAATGAAAGATGCTATAGAAACGGTCATGGAGTTATTAAAGGGGGTATTAAACTATAAAATTAACTATAAATTAAATAAAAATGTAAAAGTATTTATCTATAATTTAATCTACAAAATCTCATTTAGACTTTCTGAGCCAAAGGTGGCATCTTAGATGTTTTGGTTTTTCTGACCAACAGTTCAAACACCCCCATGACAAAAATTTAAATCCTAATTTTTTTCACAAGCTGGAAACATTATACACACACTTGTTTGTGTTTTTTTTTTGTTTTTTGTTTTTTGCTTGTTAACATTTTCAGTCCTCTAATTCAGTCCTCAGTGTGAAATATCAAACCAGCTCCTTAAACTACAGGAGGTAGATGAGAAATAATCACAAATCACACTAATTCCATCACATTGTATTAACACAGGACTCCCCAAAAATGTTTTGCAACTGTGAAAAACAATTGTTGATTTATAATCATTGCATTTGCATTGCAAATAAGATGTTAGACCTGTTTGTTTTGCACTGATTACAGTGTACGTCTAATACCTCGTCTCATAATTAAATCTTTGTGAAAACCTATACTTTAAGAAAATAAATCAGTTTAAGTCTGTAAACAACCTTATAATGGCAATTTTCCAATATATACTATATTATATTTTCTACATGTATACATACAAAGTGCATAGTTCATGACAAATTCATTTTTATTGAGAAATTTAACCAATCTGATGGTTATATTTCCATTTAGTTGATTCTTTATTTGATGTATTTATGGGGTTTTTAAACACCAGATTCTTTATATGAGTACAGAGGGGGAAAAAAATCATTGTTTACTCTCAATGGGGTGATTTTAATTTAGCCTAGAGATGAAAATGTCTGTGTGCATCACATATTTAGACTCCAGTTTTCTTCTAGTTTTTTTTTTTTTTTAACTGACGTTTATTTTATGGTAAGTTACCCTTTTTAAATTTGCTGTAAGTGCCACCTTCCAACTTGATCCTGCTGCCCGTGCAGAAAGCCAGTTCTCTCTCTCTCCATCTGAAAACACATTTTCATCTTGATAGAGAGCGAAACATCGCGATTACATCAGAATACAGGTTGGATGTATTGGATGCGAGGTAGGTGTGTGTGCGTGTGTGTGTTTTCCACCTGTGGAAGAAGAAGATAAGGAGGATCAGCACAAAGGACATCAGATCAGTAAGAATCCACATCAATTTATACTCATCGGGACTCTGAGAAGCAGATCAGAAGAGACCGTATGGAAGTGAACAGGTGAAAATTAATATCTTTCACACATGAAACAATAACAAAAAGGTAACAGATAAAACCACAGTTCATTTTATCATCTTGATAATTATTGTAAATTCCTGTGATTAAATATGGTTTAAAAGCTTCCCTGATAAAGCTTGTAGCACTAATTTCTACCACAAGATGGTGCTGCAAGTTAACGTAACCAAGCACTTATTCGACCAGGAGGCCTGCCGGCTGTAGTACTATAAAAAGAAATATCAAGAGTTAATCAAAGCCGAGAACACACTTGAAAAGATTTCAACACCTCTGTGGTAAAGAATTGCCCAATGATATGTAACAATGTGTATTATAACATAATTTAGCATGCTACAGATGTGTTTTAGTGCTTTAGATGACTAAATGATGTATTAAAACAGATATAAGAAACAAATGTTACAGCAAAAGCAAGCAAAACTTTATTTATGTAGCACAAGCTCACGATATACACGGTGTACGTTGTGTTTTTACAGATAAAAAACATAAAACGCTCAACCGCAGGACACTTTAAAATATGCATGCATGAACAATTATTAGAACCTAAAAATTGCAATCGATTAAACAAGCAGGAATAGGGTAAAATAATCATTAAAACCAGAAACGGGACTACTGAAGGTTTAATAGGAGTTGCTATGAGTTTGGTTTAATCCCTGATTATGCTGGATGACTGATATGATTTGGTAGGTTGCTTCAGCAGCTTGGACCATAAAAGGTAAAGCCTCACTACATGATACTACAACCGCATCTCATCCAAACTACCTCAAAATCGATACCCTTACTCCCCACTGCTAACTATATGGTATCATCACTAGGTCAAGTGTTTCAAAATAAAAGCTTCTGCAGTAAGAAAGAGAGGGAACAGGTCGATGTCAGACATGAAGCGCATCGCTTGAACTCACCATGATAAACAAAGGGGAACTGATGGTGCTGAGCAGCTGGGGGGCGTTAGTGGTGACTGAATGCACTCCAGCACACCAGGCTAGAGAGTAGAGCCACGGCTGACTGATCACATACAAGTTTGTGGTGATGTTTACTGCAGTGTACTCCCTACACACGGGAGACGAGAAAGTCATGAATATTACTAAACACAAGGAGGAGGACAGTACAGACACACACACTTGTGTTACCTGATGAGCTCAGCAGACATGGAAGTGTAGTCCAGGTTGAGTTTGACGATGTGGTTACTCTGGAGCTCCTCTAGAGGGAGCCGACTGCCTGAAGTCTGCTGGAGCTCAGGATCGAGTTCCTGGACCAGAGCTCTGAGATTTGATGGCAGCCAAAGCACCTAGATATGGCACGCAAGCAGTGTTACCTACTACTCGCTCACAGTAACTGCACTCTTTACTCTTTTCAAACGGTAAAATGCCAAATTACAACATTTCACAGTGGAGTCTGGTGATAGAGAAATAAAATAAGCCTCGCCTGTGAGGAATGGATGGATGATTCGTTCTGGATGACCTCGAGCGTGCGCTGGATCCAGGTGTCTCTGAAAGGGTGATCTCTGGGTGGCCGATAGAGGTCGAAGATCACGAGTTTGCCCGTCTGAGCTGCCAGCTGGAGGAAGGCCTGCAGGCTACAGACCGACTGGTTTCCAGCTCGCTGTCGGTCGTCTGCGTTCAGAGAGCCAGCCGTGCCAAATGGGTTGTGCTGCAGGGGGCAACCATCAATAACCAATCAATACAGTGATTTCATATGACATGTGATATGCTTTTCATTGGCCAGCTGAGTTTTTTTCCCCATTTTTGGCTGACTATCAATTCATTTGTGTCCAAACATGCTCAACTCCCTCCTGTAGTTATAGTAACACTCTTAACCCTCGAATATAGTAAACAAACTATCTTTTTTTTTAGCATTTCGTTACATCCATACATCCATTTTCTGCCACTTATTCTAGTCTGGCTCAGGGTTCTCTCTCCCCAGCTACCTCCTCCCGCTCTAACCCTCTTCTGGGACGCATTTCCAGGCCAACCAAGTGATGCAATCTCTCCAACATGTCCTGAGTTTGCCCCAGTGTGTCAGGTAGACGTGCTCAAAACACTTCAAATGGCTTATTTAAATAGAAAAGATTAGCAGCTGTGCTCTGAGCCCATCTATGGCAAACAGCAGGTAAAAGAATATCAGAGAGGTTATTAGCTGACCCCTCAAAAATGCAGTGAATAAAATCAATAATATTTCCTTTTGTTTATTTTTTTAGAGCTTTTTTTCTTTGGTTACATTTTTCAAACATCAGAGAATAGGAAAGGTAGGAATGGGAAAGGTCATTAAATGGCAGACTCACAGACAGGAACCAGTCCCCAGCGTTCAGGCTCTCCAGCTCGTTCCAGGTAAACCTGGCAGCTGGAGTATTGGTCCGGTTTGGGAAAACTTCATGGATGTTGGTCGTCCGCTGCAGAGTGTAGTCATGCATCAGAAAAGGCACTCCATCAAAACTACAAGGACAGGACAACAGTATGAGACTCTAAATGGGGCAGGGAGCTTTTCAGAAACAGAAAAGTCAGCTTGCCTGAAAGGTTATTGTATTCAAAGTTTAATAGGGTTAACTGAGACCTGGCTAAGTGCTTGGTCTCCAGTGAGCATGTATGTAGAGAGCTACTGGCTCAAATGCTTAAATTCTTTTATCAATACTTTACATTCACTATTACACAAACTTGGGGAATTTAAAATACCAATGAATTCCTCAAAAAGTCGAACATCCTTGGATTTATTGGATACTTTGATTCTTATTCTTTATACTCGACTTTAATAAACAATATTTTTTGTAAATGTAACGGATAACTCTTATAACAGTAGTTTATTAATGAGTGACGTCCAAATCAATTAAAAAAGTTGCCTAAAGGTTCTTTATATTGTAAGGTAAAGACCAATAATACATACAAAACCCCAACAATCATATGACCCCCTATGAGCAAGCACTTTGGCGACGGTGGGAAGGAAAAGCTCCCTTTTAACAGGAAGAAACCTCCGGCAGAACCAGGCTCAGTCAGGAGCAACCGTTGGCAGTATCTCTTTGGATCTCATATTGAATGAAAATATACCGGATTTGGAATCTACTTCAGATCTTTTATCTCCCTAAAAGGACGAGAACAGCCCTCAACCATGATACTGCGTATCTGTCAACTGTCCAATTGCAAAAATGGAGGACTGCGTTTCAAAATGATCTAAGCATTAAACAGTCTTGAATGGTTTTAAATCTGAGCTGGTTTAGAGAAGCAAAACTACAAAAAAATGTCACTGGATCTGACTGTATTTTACACATAATTAAATACCATGTGGTAGAAAAGTGTCTGCCACAAAAAGAACCAAAAGTAATCGAGCCAACGCTGCAGGAATCATAAATGTTATACTATTAGATAAAGACGACTGTGGTTCATTTTTTGCAACTGTTGCAATTAGAATTTCACATTTTGTAACGTTAATCTGAAATCAGATCAGTCATCAGCAGAAAAAACACCACATTTAACAGGAACTGAAACAAGATGGCAAGACATCCACAAATGTTTGGTCACATGATCAATCGAGACAGTCGGTGGCCACGCCCACTGTTGATTCTGCAGCATCTGCGTATTTGGTTGCAGTTTTAAAGCCACGTTCGTTTCTATAGGACATTTTAAATAACCCCAGCTGACCGAAGTGCTGAACAAGTTATTCAAAATATACACTTCACATAACAGTCACTAAATGAGCAATAAATGCAGAACAAAAATCACACAGAACAAAGTCAATAAGACGCCGTTTGCATAATAAAGCCCAGGGTGCTCGGCTCAGAGTTTTGAAAGTGTTTCACAATAACTGAGACTGTGCAGTGATTATGTGGAAAAAGCAAGCTGCTGACATGTGATTGCTTTGTCACTTTGCAGCATGTTTTCTAAATACTGTTTAGGCTGCATTGCACTGGGCTCTCAGGGCCATTGTACCATAATTGAACACACATGCTTTCGCAGAGAGCTCCTCGCTGACCTGATGGTGACATCCGTCTCCAGACCGTCACACCCAGCCTCCACCGCCTTCTCAAAGGACATCAGGGTGTTTTCTGGAGCAAGCTGCAGAATGAGATCAACAGAGAACAGCAACTTGCAGCAGCAGTCAGTGCATGCGGGGACTTTCAGCCCTGAACAAAACACACAGGAAGGATGTGAGCTTCCCTTTGTTTTTGTGTCAGTTCAGGGCCTGAGCGGTTCCCCAAGAACATATTTCACATTACACTAACTTATGTTGTGTCACATTCAGGCTTAAAACTCTTTTACAGACCAAACAGTTTTACAACAGCATGTAAAAAATCCTTTACTCTCATGAACAGCAACTGTTTGTTTATGAAAAGAAAATCAAAATCTGATTATTTCTGTTACAAAGAAAGAAAAAATCTCTGTTTTACTTTGTCATATGTGACACTAGGACAATTGAAATACTGCTGCTCTCTCACTTCAGTGTACAGGACTGTGTACTGTGTTTTTGCTCACCATAGGGGCTCCTCTGTGGCCAATGAGAGCCGGTGCAGGGCCCAGGGTCCCCTTCTCTTTGATACAAGGAGAATACAACCCGAGAGGAACCAAGTAGAGGGACAACAGGACGGTCAGGTACACGGCCACGATCAGGCCTCGCCGTACTAAAACACAAACACACAGTTCGTGGATGTATAGGTGAGAAGAAAGTAAAGTGTTGTGAAGTCGTTTGGATGAGTTGGAAAATCCCAGTAAGACCATCAGTTCCTGAAATACTCAGTCACTTAAATCCCCTTTCTGATGCTCAGTTTAAGCACCTTTACATGCCTAAATGCACTGAGTTGCTCTAATGTAATTGGTTAGTTGATCAGTTGTACCTAAGAAAGTGTCTGCTGAGTGTATTTTGCCCATATTGTGCTTTTCTTGCGTTGTGTTTCTTGAAAACTTATTTTTCAATTTACTTTAAATATGAGTTTTTATGTTTATCATCTTTTCATATATCAGAATAAAAACAAACATTTTAAAAGCGCATCTGAGACTCACCTGTGCTTTTCATGCGAAAGAAATGCAAAGCAACAGGCCAAGCCAGTGATGTCATCAGTAAGACTCCGCCCACATGTAAGAAAGGTGCTGTTACCTGGTCAGGACAAGAGGGAAAAAATAATCTAGTTAAATCTAACACGAGAGGTGGAAATCATAGACACACAGAAAAAGTTAAGTTAAAGAGGAGAAGAAGAGCATCACCTGGAAGGACAGCAGCAGCGTCCTCCATTCTTTACTCCACAGGTTGGACAAGACGGCCATGGCGATGACGGAGACCATCAGGCTCACCAGGATCCCGATCTGCAGAAAACAGTGTCAACATGTAGAAACATGAAAAATGTTTCATATGGATAGAAAACATCATTTGGCGACACTGACTAGAATTTTTTTCTTTAGCATCCAGTGAATAAAACATCCTAATAAGCTCAGAGAAAAGAATTAGCAGGTCAATTTTAAGGATGATGTCTGGGTGAATATAAGGAGAACAGCAAACATGGAACCACAGTATATATGACAACAACAGAGTTTGTGCAATTCTAACAAGCTTTAAAGTCAAAATTGGTACAATTTCTTTAAGCAGTCTACAGGAACAGTTCGACAGGCTTCTCAAAGGACATTCAAAGCTCTTCCTTGGATGATGGCTGCCTTTGTTATCTGTCAAAATGATCCCAAACTGCTTCAATAATATTGAGACCTCTGGGAAAACCAATCCATGATGTATAGTTTTCCACTGTGTGTTTTTCTATCCAAGTATGTTTTTACTGCACTAGCAGTGTGTTTTTTCACATGGTTTTTCATGGTGGATTAGAATCTGATGGCGTTTTTCATTGGCTTTGAAAAGGTCCCAAACACCACTATGGTCAAATGCAGCCTAAACCATGACCGAGCATCCACTGTGTTTTAAACATAGCTGAAGACGCTCGCTGTTGTCTCTCTATCCTGACCTCCTCTGTACTTATTGACGATTTGAAGCAAAAATGTATCTCCATCAGACCTGTTGCCTCTAATTTTCAGTCCAGTTCTTGTGTAATGTGGCATATCTCAGCCTTTTTAACCTTCCTTAAAAATGGCTTCTTTACGGCCATCTTTCCAAGTCAAGTCAAGTCAAGTCATCTTTATTTATATAGCACATTTAAAAGACATCAAGTGTCGGCCAAAGTGCTGAACAGAGGGATAATATAATAAAAGAATTAAAATAGAAAGAAAACATTTTTTTTAAAAAAAAGAATTGTAAGACATTTAATATCA